TTCAGTAAAAATGCAAACTGAAACTACACATATAAGCAGGGTATAACAATCTATGTCATACCACAAAATCCAATGGCCTGTAAAAACACTAGTGAAAATTAAAAATAATAATAATTCAGTGTTTTTTTTCTTCTATTCATAAATTTAAAAAATATGTCAAAAAGGTTTAATAACAATAATACCTTAACTTACCTAACCTTTTATATTAAAGTAAGAACATTAACATAGTATTGAAAATATACCATTGTAAAAATCTGGTGTTCATTTTTGAAAGGGTAATATTTTCTGCGTATGATAGGTACTTATTTAAAATGTCCGTCGTGAAAATATATTCATTTTTGGGTAATACGATTAAAGTTGATGTTGTTAAATATAATTTTCATATATATCCTATAGTTATGTTTTGTAGTTTTAATGGTATAATACTCTGGACATGGAAGCTTTTGAATTAGCTAAATTATGTAAAAATTAAATGACATAAATAATTAATTAGATGCACTTTAAATACAATGTTATAATTGATGTAACCTAAGTAAATTATTATTTTAATAGAAAGCTAACTTTGTCCTAACTTAACAGAATCTCAAATTGATTATCGGCGGTGTTAAAGTATAGGAGCCAATATATTTTGAATACATAGTGCGTGTGTTAACCGCAGACCCCACAGTGAATTATGAGTTGTGGGGAGGGGGTAGGAAGTTTAGTATTAGATGGTGTACGTAAAATCATGATAGTTTTAGTGGTTTATGATGGCATTGGAATATGCTCATCACGTCATAATTAGTATATTACAGTAATTACGGTTAAAGTTTTAATTTTTTTTAAAATTTATGATAAGTGACAAAATTGTATTTTGTCACGTATTGCTTAGGTCGCATTATTTACATTCTATGTAAATATTTTACTGTATAGATTTTAACACATTTGAAATATGGTTATTTAATAAAAAATATTTGGATAAAAATTTCTGATTGACTGAAAATAATAATCCTGTGTGATATAAGCAAGAATATATTAGAATTTTTTGATAAAAGACTAAGTAATTTAACACGTGTAAATAATATTACACAAATATATATTAATAGTGCTACTATATTACCTACCTAAAGTATTTGCTATGCTAATGTGAATGGTATGTTATTATAAATATTTTATTTATCGTAAACTATAAAAATCGTGTGGAGCTGCTTATCGTCAAACAGCCAATAGATATTAATACAAAACATTGAGCGCTAAGCGAAGTATAAGGGCTAACTTTCTGTGATATTCTTATTTAAAATGTAAAAACCGGCGATGCATGATGCATTATTTTCAATGTCGTTTAATATTCCAATAATTCTATATGTCTTGAAATACGAAAAATAAATTATAATCTAACTAATGTAATCTACACATGTACATTATTACTATTATATTTTATTAAATGAAAAATGTTTAACAGCTCAATAATATTGTATACAATATGTTATTTTCAAAGTGACTTTTCATCAATATTTAATCACGTGTTTTCTGTTTAATGATTTAATGTTTTACACGTACAAATATTTAAAATAATTGGATAATACAAAAGCTTGCACATTTTCATTTAACTACCGCTGAAACATAATACTGAATGTAAGTGTATAGCAAACATATATTATGTAACTTGATCTTTGTGTGTGTAGGTAACTGGGACAAGTTTGCAATAGTCAACCTCACTGAATTTGAAAAATGATTCCGAATTGAGATCGTAATGATACATAAAATGTAAATAAATAAATAAATATATCACCCTCTTATTGTGTTAAACCCTGTTGATGATTTCACATTCGGACACATACTCTCTCCTTTCTTCTATGTTTCCAGTTAACCTCTTTGGCTCATTGTAGCTTAATGATCCAGCATCGGATATAATTTGCTAGAAAAATTATGTTCTCGGACTCTCTTACTATTAATTTGACCTTCTATTAGTCTATAATGTAATAACCCAATAATACAAAGATAAAATAAAATTGGTAGAGGGAGGTGGTAGTGTGTATAAATAGTGATGAGATATGAATGTATTAAAGGGTTGTTACCTTCCTCCTTGTTTAAGGGAGAGCTTTCAGGGTTATGAAGGTTGGAGAACTGATTAACGTGTAATTATACAGTCTGCCAAGCTAAATAAAGCAGCGCTTACTTGTTTTGCCGTAGACCTTCAGATATCGATGCAAGGTTAAAAAAAAAGACAAATGCAGAATTTGGGGTTATCAATATTTTCCATACCACGTGTTTCTAATTTATTTATTTCTCAAGGTTATAAGCTTGGTAATAATTAATTTTATAATATTAGATAGATCGGCAATGGATTATATAAAAAACTCTAGCAATTGTTTATAACATTAAACTTATATTATCTAAAAATATTATGTAATATGGTTTTTCTAAATTCGTTAGCATTTTGGGGATGGGTTGAACATCCAAACCCTCCTAGGTATGATCTTGATATTGTGTATGGGTAGTTTTTATAAGTTCATATAATTTTACTGAAGTATTTTGAAGGATGAAAAATTTGAAAAAAAAATTGTCCTTTAAAAAGCTTTAATAAATTTAATTGAAAGTCTTCAGAAGGAAAGTCTTAATATTTTATATAAAAATAAATTTTCAAGCCCTGGAAATCAACATGAAAAATTGTTTTGGTATTTATTATACATTTTTATTATATATTTCATGTTTTAAAAATAAGACTTTCAAGTTTTAAAAATGTAAATGTAAAATGTATAACCATCGTTATTTGTGAAAATATTATTTTTTTTTTTTTTTTGGTAGTTAAAAGATAAACGTTTATACCAGTGATTTTTATCTTTTTTTCATTTATGTCACCTATAGCTATTAGAAACAAATCCCGCATCGCCCTAACATTAAAATAATGAATAACCTACATTTTATATTTTAGAATTACTCATGAAATAACAAAAAATAAAATACAGAATATAGAAAAATAATAAGTACATCTACAATTTATTTCAGTTGCAGGGTTAAATAAACATTGAAACTTTAAAGTTTAAATTTGCAATTTTTTTTTTTTTTTTAAAAGAGAAAAAATAATAATGATTTGTATAAAAACTGATGAGAAATTTGACCCTGGTTGTTATTACAAAGTTGAGGAAGTTGAGGTAGAAAGACCGAGTCTCACATTGTCTTTAAGAGTTGTAGAGCTATAATACTACATAGAAACTGCAGAATAATGACGAACAATCCCGGTTAAGTTGATAAGATAATAGATAGTTCAGTGATTTCGCAAATCAAAATACTTCACGTGTTTATCGGATCCAAAGAATAAACATAAATAATATAACGATACAAACTTTAAGGTGTGATATTTATATGACAGTCACGACAGTTATATATTTTTATTCAAATTAATTATTTTCTTATTTTTTTCCTTTTCCTGTGGAGATCTTGTTTTACTTCTACACTGGATCCATGTCATCCCGGTTGAGAACTACTGGTTTATATAGTTGAAAAAATAAAATAAAATGGGATAAATACTTATATGTGTTAGTGATTAATAACATTTATAAATATACTTCGTTATTTTCGTGGTATATTTTAAGTTCAAAATTTACAAAACAAAACTCATTATTTTCAGATTTTTTTTTTTTTTTTTTTTTTTATGTCAATTAATAAATCTATTTCGTTTGATTTAATATTTCATAAAACCTCTTGTGGAACCATTGGCGCAAAGACAGATTATTTGAATTTTTTATTTGATTTTAAACAGAGCGCAAATAAATTAAATACGATCAAAATCCAATTGAAGAACACTGTGCATTTGCATAGTGCTTTTAACTGTTTAAAATCAAGACTTAGACATGGCGTGCTATATTCGATAAGTGCTCAGGTCTGAAAAACTTCCGAAAACAAAATTTACATTAGAGACAATATTCTAGTGTGCGTAAAAATTAGTTATATATAAGAAGAAAGACAACCCCTACATGCCGCATTTCCGTTACGACAAAAACAAGTTGATTACATTTTTGGTATACATCTAATTTATGAGATATTGTTACTGCAATGTTTCATCGAAAAACATTATTGGGTAACTTTCGGGAAATCCCTTGCAATACACATAAATTTAGAATCGTAGACCGAAAGTCTTGTGTAAATTTTATATAAAGACAGTCAGCGGTATGAATGTCGTACGGAGAAAACTATTGTATTGGATCGATAAGGTCTGATTGATTACGCGCGCAACGAATTCTGTCTTAGAGTAGCGTTTCTTCTACTATAAATCAATCGGTGTCGAACTCTAAATACTCGTAACCGGAGATTACTACTGTCTTCCGTGTACAGACCGACTAAAATTTATCTTGTCACACGCAAATGTATTCACACAGTTTGAATTCTGAACACATATAATTGCCAGATAGTGATCTCAGTGTTGCGATGGCGTTGGCAGTGGTATCGATTAGTGTATGTTACAGGAACAGTACTTACCTACATGTTTATTATATGTTTTTTTAATACACTCGGGGCGAACTCATCGTAACCGTAAATTTGTACGATTATGAGATACCATAATGTGACCGTGTCGGATGGTTCACTAAAACTTGATATATTGTTTGTATTTATTATTATGACACCGCGAATGCTTTTCGAATGTTTTTGGAATAATTATATATTGTTGGTAAATTTTGTATCAAAAATGTGTTTTCGAGGGATACATATTATTCATTAACGATTTCGGATGAAAAATAATAATTTATCAACAGTGACAATTCAATTATACTTGTTCATCTTCGTATGGTTCGCATCACTGAAGATATCACGGACGAATTTTAATGTTATTTTATTACGAGTACATTTTTATTTTCAGCTCTTTCAATTTATGTTCTGCGCTATAATGATTTTATAAAATGCTTACGGCATTATTTCACAATTTATTTAAAATAAATTCAACCGTTCTTGGATTTTATAATTGAAAAACACAAAAATAAATTGATAATTTTATTATTTTGTTTAATGATTTTTATATTTACCGTTTTTTCGTTTAAATGATTCACTTTGCAATGCAAATCAACATTTGCTCCAATTTGGACAGTTAAGTTGACATAAGGAGCTGTTTCATCGAAAAATGGTACAACTTTTTCTTCTTCTGTTGTCGGCGTACTGCTCGTGGTTGGTTCCCATAAAACATGATTGAGTAACGCCTCGAGATTTCCATCATTTTCAAACGTAGCTTCTAAAAAAGGGGAAATGAACATTATATTTTTATATCAGGGAATCAAAAATCAATTTATGTATTAATCTTTTTAAGATGTAAAATTTTTGTCAATATTTTACCACGATTTGTGTAATATTATTTAATTCTAACGCATTGACGTTTTATTATTATAATAAACTGTTTATTATATACTAATTTCCAACACTGAAAATAAACATAAATTTAATTTTGGGAGACAAATATATATACTATATGTATATATAGTATATAATACAAATTGTCACAACCGAAAGATTTATTCATAATTAGTAAAAACATTTATAGTCTTAATGTAAATACATATACTTAAAAATCTGTCTTATATAACTCACATATCAAAAACAACAGATTATTAATTAGATGGAATTAATCAAATTTTTTTTAATCAAACTTTCATTTTAAAATAGATTTACATCATTAAGTTCGTTTGGAGTTTTGAAATAAGATTCTCGTAAATACTTTTCAGAATAATTATTTATTCAATGGTTTTTCATTTGAAATGAAACAATACAACATGCAACAAGTAATTGCATTTTTAAGTAGTTTCTATATGTATATATCTATTTGATATATAATGTACATATTATGGAGATATTAATAGTAATTTAATCAAGTATGATACTCTATACTTGTAATAATTATATTATTTACAGACTGGGAATCGACACAAAATAAGATTATATGGGACGAGTTAAAAAATATGTTTTAAAAATAATGAAAATGTGAAAATAATGAAAACAATATTATTTGTGACGAATTTAGTAATATTTATAACATACTCTAGATAATTAATTTATAAATGATTAATTTTCAAACTCCTGTAGATTTATGAAAAGTAAATAAACATGAACCTGATCAAAATTTTCGAAGAAATAAAGACAATAATAATAAAAAGAAAATCATGATTAAACCGTAATTTACACCACTTTTAATGATGGGTAGTATAACACATTCATCAGAAATCGGTCTGATGATAGAAAATACCTATTTTATAATTGTAATCAAGCAATTACTCATAAAAAATAGATATACTTATTCAATAGTTAAATAATATTTAAAAATTTTAAATAGTTAATAAATGTTCATCGGTTATACATTTTTAAACATTGAATTGAGTATTAAAAATTTATAAAATTTCAAATTTTCATTGATTTTTAAATATTTATTTTTGAATGTTAATAAATCCTTATTTATATCCTTATTATTACATGTGTTAAGTTCAACTTGATGATCAAATATATATTCAATTTTTGTATTTGTATACTATTTTTTATTAAATACATAAATTCCAATCATATATAAATGCGAGTATTGTTTCAATCGTTATGGTTGAACAATATTGTGTGAGTATAATTTAGCATTTCAAATTTGTAATTAATTTGTTGTTATTTATTAATATAATTTTCTCATAATAAATAAGTATATTTGGTATAAAATTAAAATTGTACATCATTTTTTTTTTTCAGATTCATTGAATTGAACTTGGCTAATAAAATTAAAAAAGGACATTTTAAGTTTCTTAAATGAATAATGAAATTATACTTATTTTAGTTAAAAAGTTTATAAGGCGTGATTAAACAATAATATTGTTTTTATTTTGTTAGAAAACTTATGAGATTGATTAAAGTTTTAATGGAACAATGATTAAAAATTATCAAAAAATTTGATAAAAAAATTAGTAGGATTATAATAATTAAAAATGCTACCATGTTAATTAAATTTATTTTGTTATATCACACAGATAAGAGCGTGTATAAAAAAGGTACGAAAAAATATTCATCGACCTTGAAGTTTTGAAACCTAGTGTAGAAAATTTACTTTATTTTCGGCGTTTGACAACAGTTACAATTCTCAATAGGATCAAAATTCTTTTAAATAGACGTAGTTTTTTTACCTCATTTTGAGAGCAACAGAGGTTTGATGATAAGTGCAATTATAAACACATGCATGAGTAATACCTTATATGATACCTACAATAAAACTGTTCACAATAATTTATTACGTTTTATTTATTTTATCAATATAATTACCAAAATTGGAATCAATACATTATTATTGTTAGCTAATAGTTTTGATTCAATAATTATAACAAATTATAACAAAAATGATAAGTATAACAATTTACGGATATACAAGGATTATAGTAATATAAGAACAGGAATTTGAAGTACAAAATATCAAAAATTGGATAATAGAAAGCATTAATTTGTGAGAAAAATTAAAATAAGACTATTAAATCAACAAAACACAGCTGAAATCAATACTTGAATTCAGATTTAATCAAATTTCTAATGTATCAAAAAAGCACATTATTCTTTAAAATTCTAGTCACAATTGTCACAACTTTTTAACTAAAGAAGATCACAAATATATATATGTACTTTTAAGTTTGTCCGTTTTTTCTGTTAAGTTAGTGAAGAAAGTATCGCAGTATCAGTTTAGATAGTATACTTCTATAATAGTAGTCATATTGTGTATAAGTTTTAGTTATTTCTTGTATTATGAAAAGTTTTTTTTTTCTAACTTTAGGCAGTTTAGGATACTGAGAATAAGAGAAATAGTTTTTTTTTAAACTTATAACAAAGTCTAGGTATGTTCAAAATATCCTTATGGTTAAATATTTAATTTGGTACATTTGTCGGTAAAATATGCATCTAAAAATTAAAAGAGCTAAAAATATGGATATTTATTTTGAATTTAAGTATTCAATTTTCAGTAAAACTGAAGTTCAGAATCTATATGATATCAGTAGCTTCTCATATATAATCGATTCATGTATATAATTGCAATACTGCTTTGAAACATGGATTTAAAGGAATGTTTCTGTGGTAATTCAAGAACTATAATCCACTGCCTTAAGATATTCTTATTCAGAATACTTATATATTTATATACTTATACATTAAACCATGTACTTATTTATATGCACCTATTTTCTTGCATGCGTTCGTTCAGGGTTGGTCTTATGTACAAAATGCATCCTACATCAAATTATAACGCCAAAAGTAAAAATAAATGGACAGTTTTATTTTCTTTCAAGGGTTATATAATTTGGAAATTTAACAATGTCTGCTCAATACACGTTTAGTAATGATGATTAATTTAATCTTAAAGTTTCAATTGATATGATAATTTCCAAAATATTAATTCAAAGTCTAGTTTAATAGTTCAGAATTTATTTATTATGTGTTATTACCTTAAGTACAAAAAAAAAAAAAAAAAAAAAAATAACATGTCCATTATGAATATTTCTTTAAAATAAGTTACATTTTTTTTATACTTAAATTCTGTTTATGCTTATTAAATCAATATAGATTTATATTTTTTTTATTCAATTTTAAATTCATTATAATATTTTGAAATAATTTCTAAGTAAAATATCCATTGAGTTGTGGTGAAAATGTATCGTTATAAGAAATACCATTTTTTTTATGTTTTTTTTTTTTTATATTATGATTTATCACCAAATATTTGAATAAATTGGTTTTAAGTTTCGATTGGTATAAAATATTGTGGGATGGGAGTCAATGAATTAAAGGCAATTTTATAAGTTAGCTAATAAATTCGAATAGTTTAATTCGAATTTGCAATTACTATTCCTCTCGAAAAATTATTCTGAGTAAAGGAGGTCGAGCCGGTGAAATTGGTAAGTTTTGTCCTTTTTTTTTTTTAACTTTTCAACTTTTTTTTTGTTGTAAAGAACACTATAGGAAATGTTCATAAAATTAGTCCTCTAGAGTACTTACTAGATAATATTTCCTATCTTAGGTACAAAAAAAAAAACACAGACACATCATGGTTGAATCAAATCATTCCTTGTTTCACTTTGATATATTAAAAAAAAAAAAAATACAAACATTATCTTATAAATATACAATTATAGTACTTATAACGAATTTTATAATATACGAGTATATAAACCTAAGAAAGTTTGAGACACCATAAACATTTTTATGATAAATTTTACTTGTTAGAAACCAAAACAGATTTAAATTTGGAAGATTCTACTAAGGTATCTAGTAAAAATAAATATTATACAAATTTTCATAATTTAAGTGTTGTTTGAATAAATATAAACGTTTTTTTTAATAATTTTCTACAAAAAAAAAGAAAATAATCAAAATTGATTTCACTCAAAACTAGAAAGTATTGAATTTTTTTATTTATTGTCATGATATTACATGATTTTATATACATTTTAAAAGTTGTTTTAATATGTAGTTTTTCATAAAATTAACTAGATATAACATATAATCGATTGTCATGTAAATTAAAAAAATTTGAATCGCTGTTTAAACAAAAATACAAATATAAATATATTCATGATGGAAAGACAGTTTGATGAATAAAAATAAAATATATTTCTCACTTCGTTGCGAATCGGAACTGTCAAGTACTGGAAACAAAATCGAAAAGTATTAAGACAGACAAATATGAATGATACACTTTAATTTAAACGATTCCTTAACTAAACTTTGAGTAAAGGATTGACATAATGTTCTAATTTATTATCGACATGGGTGTTACATTTGCAAATAATATTCTATACATACTGATAAGAACTTCTAGAAGTATACGTTTACTAATATTAAATATGTAAAAAGTATACAAGCTTAACTAAAAGATGAAAAATTTAAGTTGAAATATTTTAAATTTATATAGAAGGCAGATTTATACTAAACCACCGTACGCATAAAGGATATTGTTTGGAAAACGATAAAAAGAATTTTTAATATGTATAAATGTAATTATATTAAATAAACTGTTTTTTTAGTAACGACTTTAGGAAAACTTACATAGACAAAATCGATTTTTAGAAGTCGTTATATCAATTCAATATATAAATATGTATATTTATATATCATATGTATGTGAATGTGTGCTTGTGATAACGATTTACTTATATGCAAATAACCATGACAAAAGTAATATAAGCGTACTGGGTAGATTAACTGGTGATGATAGTTTGTATTGCGGAA